GCCCCGGCCACTATAAAAGGGAAAGTGCCGACGGACCGTCATCACTCCTCAGCTGACCAGCTCCAGTCACACACACCAGCTCCCAACCAACAGAATGAAGGCCTTCATTGTCGCCGCCCTCCTAGCCGTCGCTGCCGCCGACAAGCTGCCCGCTGCCTACAGGGCTCCGGTTGCCTACAGGGCCCCGGCTGCCTACGAGGCCCCGGCTGCCTACAAGGAGCCCGAGTACGAGCCGGCCCCGTACGCGTTCGACTACTCGGTCAGCGACTACGAGACGGGCTCCAAGTTTGCCGCCAACGAGAACAGCGACGGCAAGCAGACGTCCGGCTACTACACGGTGGCTCTGCCCGGCGGCCGCATCCAGACGGTCAAGTACACCGTCGACGACTACGCCGGCTACAACGCCGAGGTCACGTACGAGGGCGAGGCCCAGTACCCCGAGGAGCCCGTCTACAAGGCCGCTCCGGCTCCGGCTTCCGTCTACAAGGCTGCTCCCGTCTACAAGGAGCCTGAGCAGGAGCCCATCTACGCCTACCGCCCCGTCCAGAAGTACAGCAACTAAGGCGTCTATGACCTCAGTTTACTTGCTCCTACGTCCTTTTCTTGGCAAATGTGTACCAGTCACGAGATGGGTCTGACCAATGTGCTACTATTTAATATTTATTGTTGTAATTTTTGAGCTGTGTGTGAAAAATATATCGTGAACCTGATTGCTATGTTTGCAAGATAACTGAGCTACTGCTCTCGAAATTTTACCCCACTGACGGAAACATAATGGTGACGAATACCAACCATGCACCATGCAACGCCCAAAAAAGCTCATTGTCAGTCTGATGTGTTTCAACCAACCGCGCAATGACTCCGGCGCAGCTTCGCACTGCAACGATAATGGCGGATATCCTCCCCTAAGATCTCATTCATATTTTTATTATCAGCCCTAGCTGGTATTGACCTTTTACGGCGTCTCAGCTATGTGATATCGATGACCTTGATATTTGACTTTTGACGTCACAGGGAGGTATAAAAGTCAAATCTATCTAATTTACAATGACGAGAAGTCGGTCACTAAAAAGAAATCTAAGTTTCTAAAAAGAGTGTGTACATATACATGTCAGATGCACTATGATCTGACAAGTGGATAGTCATCTAAATGGATGTTGACCTGTGAAGTCACAGAAGAAGTCAGCCTCGACCAATCAAAAGGCACGTGAATCGTATGGAACGGCGTGCTGAATTGTGAATATTCGAGTATTTATGAAGGCATATGGGCATGTCATAGGTATATATGCAATCACAGAAACCTCTTTCACCACTTTTCTTGAACTTGTGGCGTCACAGGGAGGTCAAAAGGTCAAATTGTACCGGTTTACATTGACAAAAATATTGCGTAAAAGTGACTTCTATCACGTAAGAGATGACAACGCTCATATTTAGTCAGGAAGCTATAGATAAGTTTAAAAATATTGCCCTAGAGGCCTAGAATAATTAAAGTACAAATACTGAGAATACTATGACGTCCTAAGAACAGCCATCATATTTCTAGTCATTCAAATGGCTATAACTCTGGCAGTTTTACAGACACTTTGCTGTTTCTTTTGCATGTGAGAAGGCAGTAAAGGGTGCTGTGACATATATTCCGGTTTTTGAAAATTTCCCAAATCAAAAATAAAATATCAAGAAATATAGGTACATTTTGAGCTAGGAAGTCTCAAAATCTTTAAGTTGTTACATTTAGGAAATATCAAAAAGTCGTTTTCTTTGCCATGTTTTTGTACCAACGGTTCATTTTTGAGTCTCTTGGCTGACAGTCTGATTTTCTGCGTTTTTTCCTTCGACAGCTTTTCCGACCAAAATAGCCAAACACTAGGGTGACCCGCGTGCTCCGCAACGCGAAAAGGGATATTTTCGATCGGCGGGTGTTCGGTTGTTCTTGTGTCGGTTGGGTTATCTATCCATTTCGGTCGATTGCTTTTTGACGGCTAAACGTTTTGGTTTGTGGAAAAAATATCCACCGCATCGAGGTGCCCGTGTCTGATAAGCATGCTTTCCACTTCAGAATCTGTCAAATGTGCTTTATAATTGAGGTGCGTAGTTTTATATAATACTGAACGAGGCCGGTGTAAATAAATTTTCAAGACCGAGGTCCTTACTGGATTTTTGAACGAGGCCGAAGGCCGAGTTCAAAAATCAGTAAGGACTGAGGTCTTGAAAATTTATCACCGGCCGAGTTTGGTATGTATTTTACTGTATGCCACCGATAAATTTATTTTCTGGACCGAAGCTCTTAGCCGACTTAGGAACGAGACCATCCCCAAATGTTGGCTTAAGTGCATTCTGGTAATGCATTTTTGACCGTGGTCAATTTGCTTACACCAGTTATTACCACACCCCTCTAGCTAATGTATTTGAATAGGCCAGGCATACAGTAGGCATACAGTAGGCATACAGTACATACAGCATACAGTGTTCGGTTGTTCTTGTGTCGGTTGGGTTATCTATCCATTTCGGTCGATTGCTTTTTGACGGCTAAACGTTTTGGTTTGTGGAAAAAATATCCACCGCATCGAGGTGCCCGTGTCTGATAAGCATGCTTTCCACTTCAGAATCTGTCAAATGTGCTTTATAATTGAGGTGCGTAGTTTTAAGACAAATGAAAGGCGTAGATAATTTTCGCTAAAAATCGTTTCGCAGAGGTTTAAAACATTTATATTTTTAAGAATACTGTTGCTTGTCATGCAAACGTGATGATTGGATCTTGGAGAGAATTGAATGCTCTTTCTAATGATAGCATTTTCAATTGTCAAGCGTATCAGGTTAAGCAGCAAATCCCGTGTAACTTTTTAGTGGCACATTATGGACAAATACCATTTAATTCAGCGATTTTTCCACATTGTTTTTGATCAATTAGCTGTTCACAATTTTTCCATGAGAGGCGGTACATTTCTCTTGCCAATTGACGTTGTTTCAACTCTCTCAGTCTGATGGTCACGGGAAAATAAAATAAAATCCAAAATCCGTTTAAAATGGCACTTTTTGAAATGAAATTGCCCTCACACTTGCACGTGGCGCGTGCCACCCCTGCACCGCACACTATTCGATTGCCCGTTCGATTCTCTACACGATGCTGTTTTCCCCGTGCCGATCGGGCGCACGGCTACCGAGATATTGCACGGGGAACGGACCCGTGTCGGGCAAATTTAGCCATTTTCGCCCGTTTTTGCCAGCCGATTTATACATGTAAAGTCTATGGCGCGAATTTGCACTTTTCGGGCACGCGCCACGCGCTCGCTATCGACCCGATCGAGCTGAGACCCATCAAAGGCACGTTGTCCATCCTTGTTCTATGAGTTGCGCAAATTTCAGCGCGGTAGGTGCAACGGTGTGACCTGTAACCCGCGCTACGTAGCACCATGTCGCGACCTCGGTTACAGACAGAAACTACGTCACCTCAAATAGTAATATAGACAAGCGGCTGCGCCACTTGCTTTGCTGCGTGGTAGGAAAAAATTGCGGCACCAGCCAATTTGCTTTCGAATGGTGTTCGATTCAAATCGATGTGTCGTCTAGAAGCATAGATATGGACGGAAATGTGAAGAGAATTTAAAAAAGAACTGTTCTGAGGCCTTTGTTGGATGAAATTGGCTGATACGGGGTCAAGACGGGTCAAAGGGGTCAGCCCCGGTCACTTTGGGTGAGGCCAGGTCACAAAGGTCACCTCGCGTCCGATGGGATCAGCCCGGGCCACTGTTCAACTTTTGCCTCCACCACTACCCCTTCCCCTACCCCTACCACTACCCCTACCACTACCACTACCACTACCCCTACCACTACTACTACCCATACTCCTACCACTACCCCTACCACTACCCCTACCACTGCCCCTACCACTACCCCTACCACTGCATCTACCACTACCACTACCACTACCCCTACCCCTATCACTACTACTACCCATGTTCCTACCCATACCACTACCCCTACTACTACCCCTACTACCCCTACTACTACCCCTACCACTACTACCCCTACCACTACCCCTACCCCTACCCCTACCCCTACTCCTACTACTACTCCTACCACTACCCCTACCCCTACCCCTACTACTACTCCTACCACTACCCCTACCCCTACCCCTACCCCTACCTCCTAGCACTACTACTACCCCTACCACTACCACTACCTACCACTGGGTCATGTCAGGTCACATACTAATTGGATCCAATAAATGTTTTTTAAAAAATCAGAATTTAAAAGATCTTCTAGCACCGCTCCTATTCGTTCCATTCCATTACCCTTAATCGATTTTGTCGGGAATAGCGCTTTGTGACAAATATGGCGTGTTACGGCAAACGCGGTGCATATTCACCCGGTGATTGAGCATGCATCTTTGCACCAAATTACACCCATATCGGACCATATTTGACAAAACTGTGCGATTTGCGGCAAAAATGACGCCCTGAGATAATTGTTGCGCATTCCGGCAAACGCGGCGCATCTGTACCTGTTGGTTGAGCATGCATCCTGGCACCAAGTTGTACCCTTATTGCAGCATATTAGATAAAGTTGTGCAATTTGCGGCAAAAATGACGCCTTGTGACCAATGTGACGCATTGCGGCAAACGCGGTGCGTTTTTATACTTGTATCACAAACTCTTCCCATTGAACGAAAATCAACACATTCTCTCGCCACTTTTTATTCAAATTAAAAACCTGCCCATCCGCCAATGCGAGGCACCCGCCACCGATCGGCATGCATTTAGCTCACAAAGTTTATCGACCCCGGCTCTCAATGAAGATCTACGAAGCGATCAAAATTTCATTGGCGTTCTTCCAGCGCGCCCCACGCGCGAACCGTGCACCCCAGCGAGTCGGAACCTAGAAAAGGCGCTGACCCGCTCTGTCACCTAGAAGGTGTGCAAATTTCAACCCCCTACGATATACCGTCTGCCCTGTAGGCCGGCTAAATTGAACCCTCTACACGGCGTGGCGGACAAACAGACAGACAGATGGATCCTGTTCAAATAGTAGTATAGATGGCGTTAGTTTGACTTCTATAACTCACGACCTGTGATGAGCTAGGACCTTTTTTTCAGGAGTTGTGTAACATTGAAGTCCGGAGAGGTACCGAAAGCGGTAAGTCGAAACTCTCACCCATTTCTGAGTTAGCTGCAAAAAAAAAAAACAGTTGGGGCCTTTGGGCTCCCAACGGGTCGCGAGTTAAACCTCTTTTCAAAGATGTTCTAGCAGGTCCCTATTTCCCTGACATTGGGGTCATTGACCTGGCCTGTAAGGTCAACTAAGGACCTAAACATTAGAATTAGATAGCATCGGTTTCATCCTGTCACGGACAGGCGCGCACACAGGATTTTTGAATGGGGGGGGGGGGCACGACCTTCGAACTGGGCCCCCCATGCCGAAGGGCCCACCCCCCCCCCCCAAAAAAAAATACGGGCCACGGGGCTATATTTCGGTTGGTTTGAAGCTTGAGCAATTGGTTTGTCAATGCATGGTAGGTAAAACAATTATTTCGGTACCAGCTTAATTTTCAAAACATATATATTTTTACGCTAGCATGTTTTTTTAGCATGTTTTTTTTCGCGGACCCCGGGCCCGCGAGTCACCCGGGGGCCCGGGGTCAGCTCAGGCAAGGATGTATCCAGGACCTTTCGATGGGAGGAGGAAGGCACGGTGGGTCCAGTCTCACTGGCAGACGGGTCTCTTTAAAACGGTCTTTGCATGAGAAAATGTGGAAAATCGGCAAGCAAAAGTATCATTTATGCCCGAGGAGTGTGCCTAATGTACACTAATGCCTAATTTACATGGTATTTTACGAGCGAGCGAAGCGAGCGAGCTCCTCAGAGTCACCGGTGTGTGGCGCGCTCAGAGGTGCCAGTGAAAGGCCGTCAGATGCGCTGGTGTTGGGTCCTCACAGGCGCCGTTGCGGGGTCTTAGGGCTTAGAGACACTGGTGGGGCCATCATTGGCATGTGTGTGGCCCTGCAAAATGGCCTGCAAGTGGAAAGTGGCCCGTCATAGGCTGGCAAGGACTCTCGGAGGCTGGTAAGAGGCCCTCAGAGTCACTGGTACGTGGCCCTCAGAGGCGTCGGTGTGGGGACTCTCAGAGCCGCCGATGTAGGCCCTTAAGATGCGCTGGTGGGGGTCCCTTGGAGGTGGGGCGAGGGGCCTCGCAGTTGCCGTTGTGGGTGCCTTTAGAAACACTGGTGTGGACCGTGTGTCTATCACAGACGGATGTGGAGCCATAGCAGCCAATCCCTCGTTGGCCGTTACTAGGGCCCTGAGCGGCCGGCGAGGTCTCTCAGAAACCGGCATTGGGCCTTTATGAAGATAATTGTGGCTACATAGGAGCCAATAACGTGCCCCCACAAGCCCTGTGGCGTCCTTTCGAGTTGAAGTGCGGCCAGCGCGAACCCTCTGCTACCAACTGGCGCCGCAGGGCCCCTCGGTTTCGAAGGAACCCTAAACTCGAGAACGGGCACGTACCCCTCGCTCCCTTGCTATGTCACTGAATCCAAGTGATTAGGGGCCCTTTAGGTAATCAGGGGCGTTTAAGATGACCAGGGGTTTTCAATTGATCAGGGGCCCACCAGGTAACCATGGGCCCCTCTGGTAACCAGGCGCCCCTTAAGTAACGAGGAACCCCATCAATAACCAGGGCCCCTCAGTAAACGGGGGCCACTCAGGTAAGTGTAGGAGTCCCGCAGAAGGGCCGGCAATGTTTCTCAGGTCCGTTTTTTGACAAGGCTCTTATTGACTCAGGTGCGAGCCCTTTGCCATCAGCAGGGGGCCCTTTCAAGCCTTTTGAGGGCCGTTTAACGTCTCTTGAGTTCCCATTGAGGCCTTCTAAGGGCCCTTTGAGCAGTCGAGGGGCCTTTGAGGCCTTTTGAGGGCCTCTTGACGTCAGCTGAGGACCGTTGGACGCCAGCTGAGGATCGTGTTTTTGGGCCTTCTGATGGCCATTAGACGCCAATGGATGACCCTCTGACACCAACTGGGGCCCTCTGACACCAGCTAGGGGCACTTTAAGTTTGACGCTAGCTCAGGGCCCTCTGGCATTAGCTGGGGGGCCCGCTGACGCTAGCTCAAGGTCCTTTGACGCTCTTCAAGGCCTTATGAGGGCCCTTGAGGTCTTCTAAGGGCCCCTGAGGCTTTCTAAGGGCCCCTTGAGGCTTTTTGAGGGCCGCTTGACGCCAGCTGAGGACCGTTTGAGACCTTCTGATGGCCATTTGGCGCCAGCTGGGGGCCATCTGGCACCAGCTGGGGGCCCTCTGTCACCAGCAAAGGACTCTTTAGAGCCTTCGGAGAGCCGTTTGACGCAAGGGCATGGCCCTCTGACGCCAGCTCAGGGACCTTTGACACCCTTTAAGGCCTTCTGACGTAAGTTTGACGTTAGCCCTTTGAGGCTATCTGAGGGCCCTTTAAGGCCATCTGAGAGTCCTTTGAGGTCATCTGAGGGCTCCTTAAAGGTAGTGTGCCAGCTTTCTTGGACCGTATGGAGTTAATGGCCCAGATAAGGAGAACCGGATTTTTAGAACTTATCCATACCTTCAAAACTCATGGAAACGTCTTAAATTCTTCAAATTTTGAGTACCCCAGTGCGAAATTCGCCCCGACGGGTTGTCGGTCGTACCCCAACCACATTTCACACCACTATGAACAATAAATGCACACACTGAAATCGCTATTACCGATATGCTCATCCAATCAAGTTTCGATAAACCCGTTCATCATCATCTCCTGCGGTTTCGAACACGCCTGTTAGGTGGCTTTCGATGCTCGTCGAGGTCGGAATTTCCAAATACGCGTGGTGCGTCGGGCCGCGCGCTCTGACTTCGGCCAAGAAAAATGCGTCAGCTGATCATTGTCATTTCTGCCACTTGCGTGTGGTGAAATGGGGTCATAACTTATAAGACGGCTTTTTCATATCAATTATTTTACATAAAATCATATTTCAAACCATAAATAATGTTCGACAGCCAAATAAAAGAAACAATACCAATACGGGCTTACAGTTTAAGGCTCGACATTGTGTTGTCTACGATTAGACAGCTGATAACTCATTCCCGTACGTCGTATGGTCGTAACACTATAATGACCTTTGCTTATTGTCACAAGTGCGCCGCATTCGCGATTGTTGCCCGACGCCTGTTTGCAGGTGAGCCCACTACAGTTGTTATACATATCTAAAAACCGATAAACTTTTAGGCGAAAAAGGCACTGTTCCAGGCCCATTTTTGATTTTTTTTTGCGATATTAGGTAAAAACAGAAGCTTCTTATCCTAGGAAAAATAAAATGGGAAATCTTTCAAAGGTGGCACACTACCTTTAAGGCCATCTGAGGGCCCTTTGACACCATCTAAGGGCCCTTTGACACACACCAGATGAGGGCCCTATGACGCTAACTGAGGGCCCTTCGAGGCCATCTGAGGGCCTTTTGAGACCATCTGAGGGCCCTTTAAGGCCATTTGAGGGCCCTTTGTACACGGTCTTCGGTGGTCTAAGGATTAGTTAGAGGCCCGCCTCAAATGGGCCCCTTCCTTCGAGTTGGGCCCCCCAACTCGAATGGGGGGGCACGGGCCCGTGTGCCCCCCCCCCTTGTGTGCGCCCTTGGTCACGGACAGCATGCTCAAGTTTTCCGCGTAGTACGGTTTTTCCACGTACACGGAAAGCTTGATCACGGAGGCACGGACCCCTAATCATTAAAGGGACCCTCCCACCTTCAAAAAAGTTTATGAATTGGCATGAAAGTGATGTCGCTCGGTTCAGAAAGAGCGAAAACGAATATCTACCAAATTTCACCGAACAGTATTCACCGTTTTTTTTTAAGATATTAGACTTTTACCTTTGTTTACTTTTTGGGATCTCCGCTGTTCCTAGCAACTTTATTTGGAAGCAATAGTTTGGCAGCTGAAAGTGTGGCACTTGTTGCGCGCAAAGCAGCATATACCACCGCGTGCTACAAAACGTTTTAGTGAAACATTTAAAAATAGTTAGATATCTGCGCTGACGTCACACATTCAGAGGGGTATTCCTATGCATTAGCCCCTCTGAATAAAAATGCTGCAATTTTGAAATTCAATATTTCCGATTTAAGGCATTTATCGATGTTGTGAGTGCCGAAACCGGTAGTTGTGAGCCAGGGACCCCATTTTGGCTATCTCAACTCAAATCCAATGTTAAGGTGGGAGGGTCCCTTTAAATGCTAGACAGTATGAAAAGGGCAACGCAGGCCAGAGTCAGTAATGGTAATGAGATGTCATGTGATGACTTAGAGTATCCGATTACATCCCAATGTTGTACACATGTTTTTTATCATCACAACCGTTACTAACTGATGTGTTCCGAGCGCTGTATTTCTAACGGATGCGTATATTTTCATTAACATCTGTGTGGCGAATGACATAGTGAATGTTTATCTTGTATTAGTTACTGATACAGGCAACATCAGCAATTACCAATGAATCGCTGTGGTCTGCAGACGAGAAACCCACAGATCTGATGACGGGCTCGGAGGAAATGCTCTAGCTGGTTAAGGCTGAGGACCGTTACCAGGGTCTCCAAAGGGTGGAATATAACCTGGTCCACACACCCCAAACAGGTTGACCCACACAACTAGCCCAATGAACCCTATTAGTTCCTTAGGTTAGCGCAGGACGACTACCAAACGACACAGAGCCGGCACAATCAGAGGCGTATCAGTGACCTTCCGGGGGAGGTGCCCCGCCCCGGCCACTATAAAAGGGAAAGTGCCGACGGACTGTCATCACTCCCCAGCTGACCAGCTCCAGACACACACACCGGCTCCCAACCAACAGGATGAAGGCCTTCATTGTCGCCGCCCTCCTGGCCGTCGCTGCCGCCGACAAGCTGCCCGCTGCCTACAGGGCTCCGGTTGCCTACAGGGCCCCGGCTGCCTACGAGGCCCCGGCTGCCTACAAGGAGCCCGAGTACGAGCCGTCCCCGTACGCGTTCGACTACTCGGTCAGCGACTACGAGACGGGCTCCAAGTTTGCCGCCAACGAGAACAGCGACGGCAAGCAGACGTCCGGCTACTACACGGTGGCTCTGCCCGACGGCCGCATCCAGACGGTCAAGTACACCGTCGACGACTACGCCGGCTACAACGCCGAGGTCACGTACGAGGGCGAGGCCCAGTACCCCGAGGAGCCCGTCTACAAGGCCGCTCCGGCTCCGGCTCCCGTCTACAAGGCTGCTCCCGTCTACAAGGAGCCTGAGCAGGAGCCCATCTACGCCTACCGCCCCGTCCAGAAGTACAGCAACTAAGCCGTATTTATGATCTCAGTTTACGTGCTCCTACGTCCTTTTCTTGGCAAATGTCTACCAGTCATGAGATGGGTCTGGCAAATGTGCTTTTATTTAAGATTTATTGTTGTAATTTTTGAGCTGTGTGTGAAAAATATATCGCGAACCTGATTGCTATGTTTGCAAGATAGCTGAGTTACTACTCACGAAATTTTACGCCGCTTCCTGAAACATATCAGGTAACAAATGCCAACCATGCACCATGGAACGCCCTAAGAAGTTCATTGTTGGCCTGATTTGTTTTAACTTTTAACCACATTAATCCGCGCACGGCGCACTGACTCCACGCCAGCTTTGCGCTGCAACGAGAAAGACAGATATCCTCCCCTAAGATCTCGTTCATATTTTTATTATCAGCCCTAGCTGGTATTGGCCTTCTTTTACGGCGTCTCAGCCATGCGATATCGATGACCGCAATATTTGACCCTTGACGTCACGGGGAGGTATGAAAGTCAAATCCATCCAATTTACAATGACGAGAAGTCGGTCACCAAAAATAAATCTAAGTTTCTAAAAGGAGTGTGTACATATATGTATATGTCAGATGCACTATGATCTGACAAGTGGATAGTCATCTAAATGGATGTTGACCTGTGAAGTCACAGGAGAGGTCAGCCTCGACCAATCAAAAGGCACGTGAATCGTATGGAGCGGCGTGCTGAATTGTGAATATTCGAGTATTTATGAAGGATGTCGCATATATATGCAATCACAGAAACCTCCTTCACCTCTTTTCTTGAACTTGTGGCGTCACAGGGAGGTCAAAAGGTCAAATTGTACCGGTTTACATTGACAAAAATATTGCGTAAAAGTGACTTCTATCACGTAAGAGATGACAATGCTCATATTTAGTCAGGAAGCTATAGATAAGTATAAAAATATTGCCCTAGAATAATTAAAGTACAAATACTGAGAATACTATGACGTCTTAAGAATAGCCATCATATTTCTAGTCATTCAAATGGCTATAACTCTGGCAGTTTTAGAGACACTTTGTTGTTTCTTTAGCATGTGTGAAGGCAGTAAAGAGTTCTCTGACATATATTCCGGTTTTTGAAGATTTCCCAAATCAAAAATAAAATGTCAAGAAATATAGGTACATTTTGAGCTAGGAAATATCAAAATCTTGAAGTTGTTACATTTAGGAAATATCAAAAAAGTCATTTTCTTTGCCATGTTTTTGTACCAACGGTTCATTTTTGAGTCTCTTGGCTGACAGTCTGATTTTCTGCATTTTTTCCTTCGACAGCTTTTCCGACCAAAATAGCCAAACATGGCGTTAGTTTGACTTCTATAACTCACGACCTGTGATGAGCTAGGACCTATTTTTTTCAGGAGTTGTGTAACATTGAAGTCCGGAGATGTACCGAAAGCGGTAAGTCGAAACTCTCAGCCGTTTCTGAGTTAGCTGCAAAAAGCACACAGTTGGGGCCTTTGGGCTCCCCACAGTGGCGTATCCAGGATCTTGAAAAGGGGGAGGCCAAACCTGCTCAAGGGGCCCCACCCCTGCCTTAGGGGCCCCAGTAGTAGCGTACTTAACTCACGCCCACGTGCGGTTCTTTGCCACTTTCGCCGTGTGAGAGAGCCTTTTTAGGCACACTCGGCAATCTAAAAAAGAATGTTAAAACGTGAAAAAGTCATCGATATCGATAGCTCTGTAGCGTACAATTTATTTCACCAGTAGGCATATAGTTTTGTTTTTTTGCTTTGGTCGTCGCTAGGGTAACTGAAGATTATCAAAAGCAAAATATTTTTGTCAATTTTTTTTTTAAAGATTGAAACATTTTTCAAAGGGCAGCTTCAATCTCTTCTTGCGCTGGTTGGAGGCTGATACCCTTAACTTTAGAAGGGCCCGACTCGGGTTGAGCTCTGATCTAGACTCTGATGGCTCTATGTTGCCCACATTGGCCTCACTCCGACCTCTGAAGGCTCATTCTGGCCTCTGAAAGCCCCACACCGGCAACAGAGTGAACCACGCTGGCCTCCGGGCCTCACAATGGCCTCAGGAGACCCATGCTATGGCTGACCTCACAGGGCCCCCCGCTAGCTCTTGGGAGCCTTTGAGTCAGTCTCCGATGTCCCTATGCCGCTCTCGAACCCACGCCGGTCTCTAGAAGCCCATGATGACCCCTGAGGGTCCCACGCCCGCCTTTAAGGGCTCCTCCTACCTCAGGGCCTCAGGGGGCCCAAACATGCATGAGGTCTGAAGAGTGACTGCCGAGGCCCTCGAGGTGGCCTTTAATGGCCCGACGCCAGCCTATGAAGGCCCGCGCTGGCTTCTGAGGGCCCAGCACCAGCCTCTGAAGTCTGAAGCAGTGTGGCTAAATCCATTTTACGTTTGGGGAGGATGTAAAAAAAAAATCGGTTAACTTTACCAGCAAGGATGTCGTTATTTTCATAAAATCCGACTATGACACTATTTAAGCACTATTTTTCATATTTTACACCAAAAAATGATGTAGAAACCTGAATTCTGCAAAGAGCATATCTGACGCGACAGTACGAGTATGACCGTGCGAAGCGTACACTGGAGATTTGTTTTAGTTTTAACTTTGACTTTTCTATCCCTTGTCAATGCGGTTTCCGTCATTATCCATAAGTCATAACACAATGAATTGAACTCAGAACAGGCCAGGGTTATGGCTTGACACGTGAGGCCCCTCCCGGCTCCCGGCATCAATCAATATCTATGAATACAAGCTTCCACTAGCCACCAACAACATTCAGCAACGCAACACCACCCACGTCCCACCTATCCCTGTCATTTCATTTATCAGTGCAGACTGCAGAGCAGCAGACTGCAACGCTAACCAGTTCGTCGGATCGTCGGTTACGGGACGGGTGAAGTGTCAAGTGTCAACTATTTTCGCTTTCCTTACGCTGATCCTTCCTGCATTTCAGGCGAGTTCCTCGAATCCTCGTCCTTTCCTGAAAGAAGACCAAGACCCTACCATGAGGCTTCCCGGTTCCCGATCGCCGATTCTGAGCCTCATTTGCATCATCGTGAGCCGCGGCTTCCTGATGTCAGAATCAGATGGCCACGAACGCCAAACAGTGAAAGCGGATTTCCGTTGCTACGTACAAGCTCCAGCTGCGGCCTGCGGTTTAGCTTGTGCTAAACCGTCAACGATAATAACAATAGTTATTATGTGCATCGCTGAGATATTTCTGTACGTACTAAGAGAAGAATATTACGAAGAATATCATCATCAAACATGCACCATGCATGTTGCATAACTAACGTGTTATACGAGTAGTTGAAGGTTTTCACAAATACGGGTAACGGGATGAAATGATAATTGCGACGAGACACAGCAACAGTTGCCTTCCTCAACCTCAATGTACTGCCTATTGTGATTTTCGGACGGTGAACCAAGCCCCTTGGCGGCCTTGGCCATGACATCGTGTTCTCAATGTGCAGTGTTGCCATAATGGGGTGTATAAAAAAGTCACTGGTTACTGATGAGATATCATGAAAAATAAAATCAAGAACATCGTGAATTTACGACGACTCCGTATACGTGTATTGTATCTCATTGTCATTCGTACCACGATAGCTCGCTCTGCCACCAGTAGGTGGCTCTGTGAATAGCGCGGTTCATCTGATAGGTGGCGCTACGCTACGCACTAAGTGTTGAAATCTCCCAGGACTTCAACTCTCACCACAACACTACCACTGCACTCTGCAGTCTGCAGCCTTGGCAGCTGAAGCCAACTTAGTTAAAGCAGTTAAAGCCAAGCCTCAGCCGGCCAGGTTAAAAACAGCTGAAATGTGACATTTTTATTGGTAACTGACACTGAGCGAGCTAAGCGCTTTCAACAAGCTCTAAATCACCGACAACGAGTCGCAGGTGTCGAGTTGGCAGTTGGCTAGCGTCTAGCGACAACTGCAAAGCTGAATGCTCAGCCACGCCAAACCAAGGGCGGCACACACAAACACTACTCAGGCAACAATAAACAGCGCATTCCGCAACAGAACTGTAGCCTGAAACGTATCGGTATGCGATATGATAAACAGCGTAACAGACATGAGACCACAGAGCAAAAGCAGCATGAAGGGTCAGTGGAAAGTAGAAACTATCTACTTCATCAAAGAACTAGAGCATGTTACATGTATGTGTAACCGCCAGCGATTACTTACCCTTTGGGCCTTCGGCCTCGGACGTTCCGCTCGGCGCTCGACCTCTGACGGTCGAAGAGAGACGATCGAGGACGAGCCTCGAGGTCAGCCACAGTCGGCTGCTGACTGCACTGCACAGCAGAGCAGGCAGCGGCACCGGGCACGGCGGCGGCGCGACGGTCAGCACTCTGCACAGAGAGGGCGGTCGAACAATCGTCAGCAGAGTTCAGGCAGCACTAGCAGATGTCACTTAATCTCGATCGAAAACTGATACAGAGCGGCTTTAAAAGGGACGGTCAGGATAGCATAAAAACTAAAAGCGCCGGCAAGTCGGTAATATCTGTTCTCTTTCGTGTCAAATTGTCATCCTTGCGGGCAGCCAACCGCCAGCGATTACTTACCCTTTGGGCCTTCGGCCTCGGACGTTCCGCTCGGCGCTCGACCTCTGACGGTCGAAGAGAGACGATCGAGGACGAGCCTCGAGGTCAGCCACAGTCGGCTGCTGACTGCACTGCACAGCAGAGCAGGCAGCGGCACCGGGCACGGCCGACGGCGCGACGGTCAGCACTCTGCACAGAGAGGGCGGTCGAACAATCGTCAGCAGAGTTCAGGCAGCACTAGCAGATGCCACTTAATCTCGATCGAAAACTGATACAGAGCGGGTTTAAAAGGGACGGTCAGGATAGCAAAAAAGCGCCATATAGCAAGAGTCAAGACATGAGTAATCGGAATTAATATCTTACAGGGAATGGTTATTGAACCATGCAATGGATAATGGATTTGGATAAGGCCATTGTGAATTGTGTATGCCAACTGGCAGCTAGAATTCATGTCTTTTGCCAAGTGTCACCAACAAAAACACTTCCAAATATAAGTATGAAGTAGGTGCACAGTCACAATGTGAGGAAAAAAGGTAGCTTATGTAAGAAACATGGTAGCACATTACAAATATCTGATCATCTTGACTTTTAACTTTTAATTGAATTCTGGTAAAATGACAGCAGGAGGAGAGACTCAGAGACATTTCCTAAATAACTAGGTTAGGGTAGCGATAAAACTAAAGCTGACATACACCGACACTCCCTTTTTCAATCAAGGAGATTTGCTATACCTGGAGATGATTCTTTCTAACCAAACCAAGCCCCAGTTGTCCAGTCCAACCAAACCAAGCCTTGCCTGACTTTACCTACAACCTAAAACCCTAAACCTATAACCTTAAAAATATAACCTAAAACTTATAACCTAATATTTACCTAGGATCGTCTTACAGCACCCCTCCTTGGTTGCAAGAACGAATGTGAAATCTGCCTTACGAACACCTATGTAACTGATTCACAGATTAAAATTCATGGACATTTTACACAGTAAAAACACTCTTTTTGACAATTTCCTAAAACACTTTTTGCATGCTCTAAAAATTGGACAATATGAAATCAGTGGGCCAAATAAAAACATGAAAAGAAAGAACACATCCTTCTAATCATAAAAAGTGGGCTCACGTATGATGCTTTCTACAGAAAACATTGAAAGTTATGCCTACCACGTAGATGTTAATTCACTTAACTCCATTTAAATATAGAATTTTTAAGTTTAGTGCAATGCACAACTAAACATTTATCTATACACAACAAAACTATCCAGTTTCAGGCACGCAATGTGCATCAGCATCACACCACCCTTAACAACATTGACATCAAACTTGACAGTTGACACCAAATATACTTCAATTTTTATGGCCTAACCACCCTTGCCCTAGGTGGGTAGGTAGGTTGATAGGTAGGTAGGTACCTAATATTTAAATTGTTGACTAGGTTACCTAGTCAACAACTTAACAATTTAACACAGTAGCTACTTATCAATACTGATACTGAAACAACTTGACAGCTTAACATAACATACAGCTGCCCACCTTTGACACTTGCTCAACTATCACCACCTGTATTTAGGGCCTTGTCACCACCTACTGCCCTAGAATATGTGACATTTTTAACGCCTTAACAGTTTTTATCCAAGTGATATAACAGTCTTGATTCAGCTTGATTCCGAAATATAAACATTCCAATCTCAAAAATCGGCGAGGGTCAAACAGCGCCCCAAGGCCAAACAGAACCCTGTCGCCTAGGATATCACATGACTTACGTCACCGGCTCTTGAGATTTTATGGGGAAAAAGTGCCGACCTCCCAGAAATCGTGGTTTTGGAAAACCGGACTTGCGTCAGAACGACAGGCGCAAGAACTATTAATTGGTCATGATTTAGAAGAGAAATGAATGGGCTACAATATATATGAAAACATTTACTCAAAAAGCTTTTTTCAGAGTACGACAAGTTGTCGAAGTTAGGGGGCGTTAGGGGGAGCAAATCGCACAAAATGCCGGAGGATGTCATTATATTCGAACATTTAAAAATAGTATTTTTTGACCAATTTTCGATTTCTTGTGACTTGCATGGCAGCATTGGACAATTTTTATTCATTTGATGTTTAATTTTGTCACTGAAATGTATGTACAATCGTGAAATTTGGACTGAAGTGGACGTCATTTCTGGGGAAAAATGCGGACTTCTTGGATGAAAAATACGGGAAGTTTGATTGACATACAAACAAAAGTAAAGCATATTTTTTACCTAAATCACTACTTGGACAGTACTCCTTTTCTTTTTCTGTCATTTGATCATAATTTTAAATCTCAGTACGACAGATAAGTGGTTTTGTGGTCATTTTAAGTTAGGGGGAGTTAGGGGGAAAATAACGACATCCTTCTGGATTTTGGCATCCTTATAACGACATCCTTTTTTCCCCCAGTGACGTCTTTGGCAGTGCTAATGATATTACCAGGGTGCAGGGTAGAGGATTATGCAATGCATATTGCACGTGCAATACTCTAAGGGACTATCATGCTGCAACTGTGTTCTAGGTCAAGCAGGTCAGACCTGACATCTGCTTTGTTGATTTATGATTAGTTCGAACATTGTTGAACTTAATACATTTTATTGAGGGATACAAAGAGTGTATACTCATCTATGTTCGAACTAATCATAAATACAGTAACGTAATGCCGGCGGTTCAGTGTCCGGTAGAGGGGTGCGATTACGTCACCGACGACTTAGATGCGGTCATCGTAGCTGCATTAATCACGGCCCACAGCGCCGAGCATGCCCGAGCCGCACCAGCCGCCCCCACCGACAGGATCAAACGCCCAGCAATCGCCGCAGGAGGCACCAGCGCAGACTGGTCGTACTTCACGACAAGATGGCGGGAATACGTCAAAGCTACAAGGCTCAAAGGCGCCGACATAGCGATACAGCTCCTCGAGTGCTGCGACGACACACTACGAAGGGACTTAACTCGCTCGGCCCGTAAAAGCCTGGCCGACCTGCCAGAGTCCGACATCCTGGACGCCATCAAGAAATTAGCAGTACGCGAGGAAAACCCAATGGTAGCCAGGGTGACACTCGGCAACATGCGACAGGACCGGGACGAACCCATCCGTAGCTTCGGAGCCCGCGTGCGAGGACAAGCCAACATATGCGGATTCGTCCAACCCTGCCCCGACTGCCAGATCAACGTTGAATTCACAGATCAAATCGTACGGGACACATTGATCAGAGGCATGAATGACCCTGACGTACAGATTGATCTACTGGGCTCGGAAAAACAGCAAAAATCACTCGAAGAGGTGCTTTGTTTTGTAGAGGCAAAGGAGTGCGGAAAAAGATCTGCCTCGCAGCTCCAGGAACACCCATCGGTCACCGCAGCGGCCACGAGCTCGTACAGACGAGACAAGAAGTCTGCCCGCCTCCCGCCACGGCCAGAACCGGAAACACCGCTCTGCAGCTACTGTGGCAAACCCGGTCACGGACGGAAGGCCCCACCACGGGTACGGCAGCAGGCGTGCCCTGCGTACGGACACACGTGTTGCCTGTGCGGCCACAGCCACCACCTCGACAGCATGTGTCGGAGCAGCGGAACAAAGAGGCCCCCACAGCCCTCCGCCACCAGCCACTCGGCTCTCTCGGAGCAGCCGGAGGACGTCGGGAGCGCGGTACACGACTCGCTGTGCACGGTGCTGAATGAGAAGATGGTCGCTCTAGATCACCACATCTACGACAGCCTCTCCAACACTTGGTCCAGGAAGAAGTCCCAGCCGCAGCCATGTATACAGATGAAGATGCAACCATCACCACAGGACTATGCGGCCCTCGGATTCAGTCCACCATCGAAGATGAAAGCTATCATGTCACCCGCTGTGGCAGACACAGGCTGCCAAAGCTGTCTTGTTGGCATGAGCACGATCCAACGCATGGGGCTGAACCACACGGACCTCATTCCTGTGAAAATGAAGATGAGAGCAGCAAACGGCCAAGGAATAACCATTCGCGGCGCAGTTATTCTCCGCATCTCCGGAGCAGGCGGTACTGGCGCTCAGTATGAAACCCGCCAGATGACATACGTGACAGACGACACGGACAAAATGTTCCTGAGTCGAGAGGCATGCACCGCTCTCGGACTGATCTCCGAAGAGTTTCCAGCGATTGGCCAGGCCTCTGAGTCACCCGTCAAGAAGGAAGGAGCGGCCGACATGGACGGTCTGACGAATCAGAACTGCGACTGTCCGCGACGCCAGCCGCCCCCGCCACCCCCGAAACTACCGTTCCCTGCCACTGAAGAGAACCGGGAGAAAATAGAACGGTTCCTTCTGGACTACTACCGGTCCAGCACGTTCAACATGTGCGAACACCAACCTCTCCCCATGATGAACGTCACACCCATGAAGCTGATGGTCGATCCAGACGCCGAGCCGGTCGCTCACCACAGCCCTATCCCCGTGCCGCTCCACTGGCAGGAAGAGGTCAAGGCCGGAATCGACCGCGACGTCGCATTAGGAGTGCTAGAACCGGTCCCAGTGGGAGAACCAGTCACGTGGTGTCATCGCATGGTAGTCTGCCCCAAGAAAGACGGAACACCGCGACGGACAGTCGACCTCCAAGCGCTGAATCGTCACGCAACCCGCGAGACACACCACACTCAACCGCCATTCCACCAAGCCCGATCCGTTCCACAGGGAACAAAGAAGACGGTATTGGATGCCTGGAATGGGTATCATAGCGTTCCCATCCGACCGGAGGACCGCCACCTCACGACATTTATAACTCCGTGGGGGCGCTACCGGTACAAGACAGCGCCCCAGGGGTATGCCGCCTCCGGAGACGGCTACACCCGCCGGTATGATGAGATTGTATCTCACCTCCCACGAAAAACGAAATGCGTGGATGACGTCCTCCTCTGGTCAGACTCAATAGAAGAGAGCTACCACCAGACTGTTGAATGGCTTGACATCTGTGGACGCAGTGGGATCCTCCTGAACGCCAAGAAGTTCACCTTCGCCAGAGATGAAGTCGAATTTGCCGGCTTTGAAATCACGAGCAACAGTGTCCGCCCCTGCCGTCGCTACCTACAATCGATTCGGGAGTTCCCAACACCGAAAACAATCACAGATGTACGGTCATGGTTTGGACTCCTGAACCAGGTAGCCTATGCCTTCAGCATGGCAGAGAAGATGCTTCCACTCAGAAAGCTTCTGAAGCCAGAACATCCGTTCCAGTGGACTGACGAGCTCAACCAGCTGTTTGAGGATTCAAAGGAGCACATAACCCGAGAAATCGAAAACGGAGTCAGAATTTTCGACCGCAGCCGCCCTACATGTCTGGCTACCGACTGGTCACGAAACGGGATCGGCTTTTGGTTGTTTCAAAAGCACTGCACGTGTCCTCGGGTCCAGCCATTCTGCTGCCCCACCGGCTGGAAGGTCACCCTCGTCGGCAGCAGGTTCACCCAATCCGCCGAGAGTCGATACGCGCCCATCGAAGGAGAAGCACTAGCAGTCGCAGATGCTTTAGAAAAGACACGCTACTTCGTCCTCGGGTGCGAAGATCTTATCATCGCCGTGGATCATAAGCCATTACTGAAGGTGTTTGGTGACAGATGTCTCGAAGACATTCCAAACACTCGCCTGCGGAACCTGAAAGAAAAAACACTGCGATACAAATTCCGCATGGTACACATACCAGGCGCGAAGCACCGGGCTGCTGACAGCGTCTCTCGATACCCATCAGGAGCCCCTGTGAAGATGACGCTAGAGGATGACATCGGCTGCTCCATCAACTACCCAGAAGACACGCGCCACGCCCCACCGAGCGGCCTGACGTTAGCTGCTAAGTCCGAGACTGAGCGCCTATCCTGCGACGCACTGGAGGAAGCCACAGTAGCAACAGCCATTGCGGCGATATCAGCAGCCGACTTGAGAGCAGTCACATGGGAGCGAGTCAAACTCGAAACAGCGAGCGATCCGGAAATGCACGCGCTCGTCTCCATCGTCGAAGCTGGCATGCCCAAGAAGAAGCTGGACCTACCAGCCCCACTCCGAGATTATCATAGGTACAGAGACGAACTTCACACAGTCGACGGAGTCGTCCTGTACAACCACAGGATCGTCATCCCGCCTTCACTCAGGACGGAGGTAACATCCTCCCTCCATTCAGCACACCAAGGAGTCACGGCTATGCTCGCCAGGGCCGAAGACTCGGTATTCTGGCCTGGCATCACAGGGCACATCGCCGAAGCACGTGCCACGTGCGCTAGTTGCAACAGGATGTCTCCTTCGCAACCAAGCGCCCCTCCCACGCCGCCAGTCGAGCCTGCCTACCCCTTTCAGTGCATATGTGCAGACTATTGCCACTACAAAGGATCAAACTACCTAGTCATCACTGACCGGTATTCCAACTGGCCCATCGTGGAGCGCTCGACCGGACACGGTGCTACAGGTCTCATCAACTGCTTAAAGAAGACATTCACCACTTTTGGAGTCCCGGACGAACTAGCCTCTGACGGAGGCCCGGAATTCACCGCCCAGGTCACTCGTCAGTTCCTCCACAGCTGGGGTGTGCACCACCGCCTATCATCTGTGGCCTTCCCCCACAGCAACTGCAGAGCAGAAGTCGGGGTAAAAACAGTCAAACGGCTAATCACGGACAACACTGGAGTGGACGGCAACCTGGACACAGATGCATTCCAGAGGGCCATTCTGCAATACCGCAACAC